TTCCTCACAGATAACTCAAAAGAGTTAACAAAAAGTATGTTAAAACACGCCCGTCACACCACTCCTAGTTAGTTCCATTTCCGCAGTCACACGCAACCAACCACACATAGATAGAATGTTTCAGATACAATCAAGATTGCCAGGCACATCGCCGTGACATACACAGCTACCGCTACGTGAACAGTACAGAGCTCAAGGTAGAAAAAGCAAAGTTCTATTGGTACCTTTTCAGTATGCCTTCCACGAATTCACGATTATGTATTGCGCCGGTCCAAATAGGTCCAGCCTGGTGCACTGGATGACCACAGTGGACGCACTTGTTATCACCACCTGAAATTGGTACATCTCGTTCGGGTGAGAACACCACAACCTTCAGTACTTAAATTCCACTCAAGGCTATGGGAACGGAAAACGGCAATCGAAAACACAGCTGCTGCCTAATCAGCATCTATTACGCATATTTTCGAGAGTATCTGTGCTAAACACGTTCATTCATGAGCGCAGTTTCACAACGGGGATGATGGTGGGGTAAGCGTGGGAGGGGGGTGGGATTATATTACACTTCTGCTACTTCCCGTCGACGTGTCGAGCCATCAAGTGGAGACCTGTTAAATCTTGTGAAGCCACCATGAAACCAGCCAAAGTTTGTAGAAACCACCTGTCTGATTTGAGACTTGTAAACTGGAACTAGTGAAGCAGCGAAAGTGCAAGATGCCCCGTCCCCGTCGCCGAACTCGCTCATTCATGGTCAAAAGCTCTGGAAGAAGCGTCTTTTGCGTCACGTGCAGATCCGAGTCTAAGCTGGGCCAAGCCTTTTGCCTACAACTAAGCATTTTTGCTGAAAAAATGTTTCCTGGTAAGCTCCCTTGGGCTTAACCAGAATGATTTGTACAAGCCTTCCCAATAAAATATCATTTATATCACAAAAGTAAAACTCACCCATCAATGTCTGCCGCACTACGCCTGTAGTATACTTTAGACTTTTGCCATCTTCCACCTTCTTAAGGATTGGTACTACTTCAAGAGAGTGACAACCCGAGCAGGCCAATAAGTTTCCAACTTTTCTGAATCAATACCCACTTCAATCGACTACTTACTGATGACCCACTTTTGACCAACTTCAGTGAAATGACGAACGTGTGTTGAAATGCCTCATAATCAGATCTTAGATACTCACGTTCCAGATTCCTTGGCCATTCTGGCACCAGTATGTAGTCGAACAAACACTCGAACGTAAAAATCAACGCTGATAGATAACAGTGGTTCAATATATCGAGTATATTTGTTAGCCTGAGAATCTATTGCCCGTAAAAGAATCCTCAGTGCCTGAAAATCTTAAGCCTTTCTGGCAATAAAAACAAGGTAAAGGACCAAATGTCAAAGGTCCGGACAATAATGAAGTAGTTGCGAGTCATGGTGTGAGGGCACATTGTGAGACCAGACGGCGCTCAGTTCCGCCGTCTTCCGGCGTTCTTTAAGGCTGAGAAGTTATCACTGACTCGGTGGGAGAACACAGACAAGCACACGTACGATTACTCGCATCGCGGCATGGTTCCTCCCAACTGCGGGTAACTGCCAAGTGTGGTATTGCAACGCTTTCCCAACTATTTGACATGAGAGACGCAACACGCGGCGACGCAAGGTAGGGATTTTTCCAAAGAGACGGGACTACTGTACGGGTGGTGAATCACCTATCATGCTGAAAAGCTGGAGTCTGTGAGCTCACAAAGTCTTCAAATTGTCCGTAGCCCCCCCCCCCCACTCCCCCACAAGTGCAGCGGCACTGTCCATAGCGATAAAGAAAACCAACCATTTCGTGACAACACTTTAGGCGTACTGTAGTCGAACCGTACTTATTGTAGCAAGTCTCTGGTGTATTTCCACATAAAATACTCGCCCTGCCAACTAATCAGTACCCAAGTCACCAATAAGTATCCTCAGCGAACTAATCAATATAAGGAGATCTTCATTTGACATATATTGGCAGATTAGACTGGTGGGGGCACCCGTTCGGCAAAAAAGCTCTCTCAAGTCGACAGCGCCTCAGTCGCACAAAGCGTACAGAAACAACTAAAAGAATATCCACCTCGACGCAACGCACTGTAACCGCGAATACCTAGAATACAGAACGGAACCATAGGACGAATCAACAGCGTGAAACCGTTTGTCAACGCTGACGATGACCTCATCACGTCACTCCTGCAAAACCAAATAGAAAGCAGGCTTGAAGAAGTGGTAGCACTGATAAGTCCACCTGAGACGCCTTCACACGCTCGTATCTGCAAACCGTACATTAAATAGCCTGAACCTACACTGCATCGCCAAACGTAGCACGAACTTTATCCTCGACACCATTCAGACGAATGTTCTCTTTAATCGACTCGACGGCATTCTCTGAGAAATCGTTGGCCACTACAAAGTCGACCTTTTCTACCTAGAAAACCTACAGATCATTGGTACTAAGAAAGCATTACTGACGGTTACGTGACGTTGGCTTGAAAAATGCGATAAGTAGTTAGACAGCCTTCTTCGCGACAACAGCGCTTCGGTCAGAGAGACTTCGCGATCGCGCATCTGCGAAGTCTGAACGCGACCGAAGCGCTGTTGTCGCGAAGCGCTCTCACACGTTCGACGCGATCGATGCAGTCGAAAGCACGCGCTGCATCGGACTGAACGCTGCTTAGAAGGGGTCATTGCGCAAATACTGCCGGCCGGCCGACTTGCGCATCTTTAGCGTGATCCGGTGTTAAGGACGAAAATCCTATGTGGCCTGAAGACGAAGTTGCCAACCATGCAAGATAGGAATCGGTCGTCCTCAATACGAAGGGCCCCCTTCAACCACGTTAAGTGACTTCGACACTCGCGTCATATGTTTGAGCGTACCCGCACTTCAGCCCCAAGAAATGTAATAGGATCGATCCCAGCAAACGCCACTTATCGCCATCACCAAAACTCCGCTGCCCTGGTGTACCTTAAAAGCTAACGCATGTACAACAGCACTGTCACGCGCCCTAAAATAGCATGCCCTCGTCTCGAGTGGCTAACACACACTTCTGAGTATCGATCCAAACGTAACAAGGTGCCCCGAAAGATAAAAAAACACCCCACGACTAGAATTAAAAAAAAAAGCGCGCAGCTGGTCACGGGGGGGGCGTTTTGCAACTTCGTTGCTTCACTAGCTCTGGTTTACAAGCATAATGTGAAACCTGAGAACTCTCGTGAATCTGGAGCAAGCTCGTCTAGCTGCAGCAAAACCCATCGCTCGAGAAGAGCTGTCTAGATGGGTCACACCAGTTGAATACCATCGCAAAGTGAAAAATGCCCACCCCCCCCCCGTCGACAACCGCCGAAAAAACCTACCTCTTGTGAAAACCGTAGCGCTCTCAAACCACTGGCTGACAAAGCATCAAGGATTCGTATGGAGCCATCCTACAGAAAAAGTATAGCATTCTAGTCCTACTTCTACCAAAGAGAGCCCACAACCGTAATAAACACTAAACAAACCTCCTTTTCAAAGAGCACAAGATTTTGCTTCTTGGCCTTTGGTTCATCAGTACATTTTTCAGCCTGTCCATTGGAGACGCTTGCCATACGAGATCTAACAAACTCTCGCAAAACGGATACACTGTAAAAACCTGTTTGTCAAGAGACAAATCTAACAGTTAATTAAGCAATGAATGAAAACCTCACGTTAAACCCATGATCCTTGACGGGTGTCAGAAGACTGGTCATAAATCCGACTTTGCCTATTCTCTGACTACACAATTCTGTGTTATCACCAGAAGCCAGGTTCGCTTGCTGAGTCTCTCCCATCATGAGGGTGATACTCCGACGAACCTAAAAAAGAACGTCGAAGCAGATCAACTATGAGTTCTGCTAAAATAGCACTGAAAAGCTGCTAAACTGAAAGCATGCCTGTCTGAAGGAATGTTTTGCGTCAAATAATCCACGCGCTCTTGGTCGCATTCATAGTTCGCATCCGAGCGATTTGGAAAGCGCGCGATGCGGAAAAGTGCGCTCAACCGCGAATCACTGGACAGCTGCGAGGGTGTAAAGAAGTTATACTCCAGATGTTTTTCGAGTAGCAGTTGCAGCAGACAAAATGGCGGGATGCAGTCAACCGCAGACCTGTCATTCCCAAACTGCGCGAATAAATCACTCAAGTCGTAAAATGTGAAGAAGGGGGCTATAGTCTAACTCGCTGCGAAGGGGCGTGTCAGGCGGGTTGAGTATGGCGCGGTGCCAAACCTGTACTCCACCAATGTTGGAGCGAGCAAGTGAGATCATTGTACCATGTCGTTAGTATCTCTCCTTCTCTACCAAATGTTGTCGCATACCTGCTTCAACAGCTAGTAGAAACGGATATGGCGCCGTGGCACACTCGTAACACCTCGTAACACGCCTAACATGCCCCTTCATCCAAGCGAACTAGAGTATATGCGCGGCGGAATGAGGTTCAGACGTGGTTCCTCAATAGTTCCCCTTACAACCAATCTGAATAAGAGAATCATGACCATTTGCACAGGATCTTCGCGCCTTCTACAAGGGATTACCACATGCAAAGCACTGCCATCGGTCCTCAGCTGGGCATAGCCTCAAGCTTACCCATCAAAAAAATTGAAAAAGGTCAGAGATAAGTCGTAAACTGCCTACCAAGCTTAATAATGGACGAGGACGTATAGAGAACAGGCTTGACGAAGTTTTGAATTATGCGACGACAGTTTGCTGTGTTGGGTGGGCTACACACAATGCCCACTATAGGCGTTCCATATTTACGGTTTTAAAAGTCGGAGAATTAAATCGCTTGGAGATCCAACAAGTTGCAGAAGGTGAGCATTTTGCTTACATTGTGGTGTATGTGACATTGAGGGTCAAAATTTTACTACTCATTTGTGACGCGACCGCATACTTTCAGATTCTTCTGCTGATGCCCGGTAGACATGAAAAAGTTATGCCTGAAACGAGTGGTGATGATAACGAGAGCGGCAGCACAAGCGGTTCTGAGGTAAGAGGTCCCTTTTATCTCCTTCCGTTTTAGTGCAATAAATCCATATCATGCTTCAAATTTCTCGGAATAGCTCTATTCCTCTCTGCTTTCTCTTTTTTTTCCATGAATTGACCTAACTGTTGTTAAACGGGAGCTTTATGGCTCTTTCCTAGTCAGCTGGGACATTCTGCTGTTATAGTTCGTGAGGAGGCGCTATTTCAATGAGGGAATCCGAATAGCGCTTGGACAGTGTTCATACTTTGCGAATCGGAGAACGCGCGATTGACGAAGCCAATCGATTCCCATCGAATCGCTTGTCGCACAGTTTCCTATCCTCAGAAGTCGCAGGTGCACCAAGTCGATTAATGTTTTTCGTAGTCGCGCATGTTCGCGTTTCGCACATTCTTATAAACTGCGGCTTGTTGACATTCACAAAGCATGAACGTATCTTTCGAGAGGTCTCTAAACCAGAATCTTACGAACTTCGTTCTAACGCTGTAATTAGAGCTCGTGATCAGAATTCATCTCGTGGTTTGGAATACCTTGGTCATT